TCATAAGTTGCGGCTGGTTTATAATTGACTAAATGGCTCTAATCGTGAATGCTCTGATTGAGAATTTTAGGAGCCACTTTTGGCCAAAAAATAAAGACCGCTAGATGGCGCTGATCCAAATAATTATTACTACTTACAGTAGAGCCACGTAATCGATTATAAACCAGCCGCAACTAATAATATAGATAGAAGATATAAAGTTAACATTGTCTGTGCTATTTGCGGCAAGTGTACAATTTATCTTTTGCCTGAAAATGGATCATATGGCAGTACTTAGTAGTGATTACTATTCATAACTTCACGTATATCTTACACCGTGCTCTCTTTACCAGGAAATACCAGAATGATAAAATCACAGACGTCAAGGGTCTATTATCTATTTACGTGCTTCGAAATACGCAATACGGCTGGAGATTAATGGTCACATGCATACTAAAAACATTTAAGTAAATTTACCAAAAATGTTACAACTGTCACCCACGCATGCCTCGCTTTGGTTATATTGCACGCAAATAGACCCCATCAATAGACCTCGTCGTCGGTAGCGTCGGCAGTGTCGGCACAGTGAATCGGTCAACTGTCGATACAGCAGGGCTGGTATTATCGTTGATGTACCGACTGTTAGCTGACTCGATCGAACGGCAGGTCTCCCTATTATCTTGTGCCGACTGTCGGTACAGCAGGATTTTCAACGCTAGATCCATATGCGATTTCGATCGACGACCGACGAGCTTCGGGGGGGCCCGCGGGCAAAATGTTATCTTCAGAAACTGATAAGTAAAAGACGTCTTAGTGATAGAATTTGGCATCAATTTGATGTCAGTCATAATTCATGATCATTGTTTTGTGGGTAGATTGTAGGGTAAAAGATAGAGTGTAAATTATTATCAATTATAAACCAGCTGCAATTAATCACATTGATATAAAACAAAATGATAACGGTGTCTGTGCTGTTTGCGGCATGTTTACAATTATCTTATACCCGAAAATCTACCTTCAAAAGTATAAATACCTATGAGATTGATTTTTGGATAAAAGATAGATAGTAAACTTGCCGCAAATAGCACATACTACGTTAACTTTTTATTTCATACTCTAGTGATTAGTTGCGGCTGGTTTATAATTGATTAAATGGCTCTAAGCCGGATTGCTCTGATTCAGAATTTTAGGGCCACTTTTTAGTTCAGAAATCCGCAACGCTAGATGGCGCTGATCCAAATAATTATTACTATACTTCTGGCAGAGCCATATAATCGATTATAAACCAGCCGCAACTAATCTCACAGAGATAAAATAAAAAGTTAAAATTTTTGGTGCTGTTTGCAGCAAGTTTACAATTCATCTTTTACCTGAAAATCGATCTCTGAACGTATAGATATTCTACTTATATGGTTAAAATCGACCATACGGCTCTACTTAGTTTTTTTGATTTTTTATGAGTTAAGAAATATTACATAATATAATATACTTACATTTCATAATTTGTGTGTACCATTTTGAAAAATGAAATTTGTATCATCGAATATCGAATATTAACATTGAATAAAAACAAAAAAAAATAAAAAACTTAATTGTTCCAATCATGAGTGGGATACAATAACATACATTTATTTATGATAAAAAAAAAACACTTTTTTTGAGGACGAATGCTTTTATTTAGAGTTACGTAAAAAAATTGTACGATACATATATATATTCAGCATATATGTGCCGTAGAGATACATATATATAGACATAATGCATATGCCTAACTTATGCTTGTATTGCAAATTGAGCCCATCAAATCTCAATTTAGTTAGTCGGTGAACTGAATATGAGAAGAAAGTTGTGCTGTTTTCTTTTTTTTTTTTTTTTTTTTTTTTTTTTTTTTTTTTTTCTCTCTGCCCCCTTTGATATTAAACTGCTTTTCCCCTTCGAGCGAAGTAATTGCGGTATTATTTTAAAATGTATTTGCTTGTGTACGTATACACGTTTGTTATTTTTTAATAAAGTTTGAAGTATTTTTTTGAATTGTCATTTGATATGCTTTTCTGTTTTATACAACCAATCGATATTTTAATTTTTTTTAAATTTTTTTTTGTCCGTTTTTTTTTTTACAAAGGACACGAACAAGAAATATCTAGCCCTATAGTTGTTTGATTTCTAATTAACATTTTTTTTTCGTATCTATGTGTATGTTAAAAGAGAACAAATAACCATTTCACTGAAATTATTTAGTTTACGGTTTTCCCACTATACTTTATTTTTCAAGTTTCGACCAAAAGTATTTCTTTTATACAAAGTTGATTGAAGAGCGCATGTATTTTTATTTATATTACGTGTACCTAATATTCAATTTAAGATTTTTTTTTATTTTCCCTTCCGAACGAATCCTTTCAGATTACATTACAGATAATGATGTTTCACCACAAACGTATAAAAATTCGCAACGGATCAACTGTATCAATTCGCCAAAAAAATATTCTTACTTTTCGCCATCAGTTCAAGAACTTGACTCTTTTTTTTTATTTTTTTTTTTATTCAACTCTCGATAAAATATCCTCAGTTCGCAACACTTCCAAAATCCGTAGAAAAATACACAGCTTTTCACATATTTTATTGCTTTTCAACTCATACCAACTTACAGGGTTATCTTCACTTTTCATGTTTAACTACACTTTTTTTAAAAATAAAAAAATTATACGTAATTATATTCTAAAATGTAAAAAAATTACTATGCAATTAACGCGTTTAACGAAAGACTTTCGTTTGCTCTACAAATGAAACAATGAAAAATTCATCGAAATCTTGGCATCGATCGATAAAAAGTAAATGGCTCATCATTCCCCGCTCGAGTACAAATGAGGGAAATGTAAAAAATTCCATAAAAAAACGACGACATGTGATCATTATGACTCTAAAAACGATACGCATCGCATCAAAAGAAAAGAAGAAAAAAAAGAAATATCCAAACAACGAGAGACAAAACCGTGCAAAGAGAAAATAAAAGAGGGCGTACGAAGAAAACAAAAGACCGATAATCGTCCGTCGGAAAATTCGTCACGAAAAAAAAAAACGCTCCCAACGGTCTACGTATATAAGGTCAACCCAACGGCGCGTAAGCGAGTTAATACATCACGTAAGGGTGTAGGTTGTTTCGCTTGTCCTCCAGATGGCAATTAGTAATGCTTCAAGTATAAAACTGTACGAGTATCAAAATGGTAAAAATGACGCACACGAGGACGAGGACGAGGACGACGGGCAGGACGAAGAAGAAGTATCCGACGGAGCGGCCGGGGCCGCTCGGCCCCTGTCATACGTCCTCCTCGGCGCCGGCCGCGATCGCCTCGAAGGCCGTGGCTTCGCTGGCGGTGGTCGTCGCGGTCGCCGAGGTGGTCAGGGCGCCGGCCGAGCCCGAGTGCCGGCTCGGTTTGCTCGACGAGCTAGAGAAGCAGAGACAACCCGAGCTACCGTTGCTCACGCTGTGCTTGTTGCTGTTGTAGTTGCTGCTACTGCCCTTGTTGCTGCTGTTGCTCGACGATTGGTTGCGGTTGCGCTTGAGGGTCGGCTTGCTCTCGCGGTCCTGCTCCGCCAAACACTTTTGGTAGTAGTCGTAGTCTTTTAGGTACCTGATCGAGGGAAAAGGTGAGTTAGCCTACGTATTGAAAGGGTTTTTTTTTTTCTTTTACCAAACAGGCGGCCAGCGGTGCTCGCTGAGATACTCTTGGTTCTCCGGGTGCAGCAGTCGAAGGCTTTTGGGTGACATTTTGCACAGTTTGTTGTAATTGACGCACAAGTGGTTCATGCACCAGTCGGCCAGCTGATCCGCGTTGTGCAACTGTTTAATTATTTATTGTAAAACAAACAATTAGCCAAATATGGGTTGCTTTTCAATCAGTATATCCAATACTCTCTGTGATGGCAAATATCAATTTTACATATAATTGATAAATATACAACTTATGGAAATTGTATCACGCATGCGATAAAAATGGGACATTGGGTGGATATAACAATCGCTATTTCCCTCGTGGAAAAAGTTTGGATAGCGGCAAAAAAAAAAAAAAAAAAAGCCATCACCTTGCAGGGCTCGAGCAGTCGCAGGCAGTTCTCCACCGCCTCGTTGCCGTCGTTCTGCGATAGCCTGTCCAGGTCCTCGATGACCCGGCTCTCGACGAGATTGACGAGCCTCGGCAGGCACAGCCGGTTCGCCAGCTCGAGGAGGTTCAGGCAGCGCACGGACGATATAGCCGGCACCTCGTCCGTGTACAGGTAGCAGAGGAGCTTGTGGAAGGTGTACTCCCGCACCCCCGGAAACGCGATCTAAACAACGCCCCGTAAACATCGGCCGCGCATATATATATATATAATTATTATTATACGCGATGGGCTTACGATTTTGGCGCTGCTCTCGCGAAAGTCCCCCGAAAACATTGCCTTCATCATGTCGCAGCGGGCGGTCAAAATGGCCCTGTGCGCCGGTAGACAGCCGTCGTCCAGCTCGAACACCACGTCGGCAAACAGTCCTGCGGGACGAGCGTTATTGTATAGGTGCTTGTGTATGTTTCTTCGATTGGGAAAAAAAAAAAAAAAAAAAAAAAAAGTATACGTTACCCTGTTCGAGGCAGAAGGTCTCGAGCCTCTGACGCACGATCTGCTTGTACTGGTTGTTCAGGTCGCTGTTCATGTACTGTTCGCGCGACTGCATGTTGTTGAGCATCATCAGGAGCTGGGGTAGCTCGAGAAATTCGGCGGCTTGGCGGATCTCCTGTCGGGACATGCGTGTAGCCATTATTGTTAAATACACTACCCAAATTACGGAATGTAACAGTATAGGTATAAAATGCACTAATCGAGATCAACTCCGTTTTTTTTTTTTTACCAGGATATGTTTTTATATTTTATAATAATTGCACTTTGAGGTACCATGATTTTTCAAGTGGTCAAATTCGTTTATGCTATATTTATAGTCTCTAGGAAATCTTAGGTCTACATTGAATTCGTAACGCAATCGAGCGCGACCACTTGGTATTTTTTGACAAAAATTCAAAATGCTTTTTGATACATCTAAGATGGAAAATAAATTCACAGCATGCTTCAAACAAGATCTAACTAAAAAAAAAAAAAAGGTAAACGAGGTCTCGAATGAAAACGGGCATTGAGTTAAGATACATGTATGTGCGTGATCGATGCATGATTGTTATGAACACTGATAATGAACCTCGAAGAAGCGCATCAGTCCAACATTTTTGAGGGTTGTTGCATTGAGTGATGCAAGTTTCGTTGCGATTCTTTTGAGGCCAAAAATCATTTAATTTCTATAAACGAAACAAATAAAAAAAGGTATCACGAATGATGAACAAGCCGCTCTTTGTTTTCGATTATAAAAGATCAAACAAACATTTTCATAGTAACAATTGTTCCTGTCGATGATGTTGTTTTTTTTTTCTTTTTCATATAAATATGTATATATTGTCTACGGATATTGAATCATCCCTTACGTGCGTTTTGCATGTATAAATTACATACCACCGAATCGTCTAACACATACATGTAGTACTAACCAGAAGGAGCCCGATAGGAGCTGTCTGAAAGAACCACAGTTATGTTAGTTGGCTTACAGAATAATGGCCATTTACCACTTTCCTCGTTAATACTATCATTATCGAAATTAATTAATTTTTTTGTCGCCAATTCAAACATATATTTTGACTCTTTATTTTTTTATTTTTTTGAATCTCAAATAATTTTTATTATAAGCGACGAACAGTTTTTCTTTGCAAGCTGTACATTCAGTGTTAATCAAACATTGACAATTTGCAACTTGATTAACAATAACACCGTGAATGTACCGTTTGTCGGAAAATCTTAATCGTCAAAGCAAATACGTTTCTTTGATTTTGCCTTGAACTTACTTTCAGATCGTGGTAACGCTTGTCCAAATTGCCCGTATAAATGAATTGCAGGCACTGTTGCATCGTTTGGCTCGTTATGAGCTTCGACAAGGTCACAACTGTAGTCTGCTGATGAACACCATTAATGTCAATCTACATTCGGAGAGAAAAATATTGTAAACCTTGCAGGGATGCACATGAAGTATTTCATGACACTCACCACGGTTACGCGAATATTTTGGAAGGCAGCATGATTTAGTTCCCTACTAGCTCCGATCGATTTTCTTTGGCTCTCCACTGTTGGCAGCACTTGGAAACTCGAGCGTCTCTTTATCTGATCCCAAACCCTGTCAATGTTTGTCACAAGATTAATGATTTGTGTGCTCATTGGTGCTAGGCTATGCTTTAAGAAAAAAAAAAAAAAAAAAAAAAAGTTTCCTTACTTATTGGGTTTGCTCTGGTCGATGCGAATCAGACACTCCGTGTCGTCGTTGAACTCGCCCACCGTAGCCTCGCCAAATGAGCTGACCTATTTTCAAACAACCAGTTTAAATCATCAATTTTTTTTTTTTTTTTTTTTCAGAGCTTTTTTGTCGCCATTCTGTCGAAAAATGACCGTCAATATAAATTAAAAATGATTTTTTTTTTTTTTNTTTGCTTTTTTTTTTTCCTTTTTTTTTTTTTTTTTTTACACAAAAATTATTACTAATAATTAATATTATTACTTAATCATCAATTACTTTTATTTTCCAAAGAAATAAACAATTAGCAAGATCTTGTACTCACCATACTAGATTCGCTGGAGCTGCGGGGCGTGTACTCCTGAACGAGTTCCATGGTAAACAGCCGATGGAAAGCCGGCGAGGCCGAAGCGAGTATGCACCGATGGGCGAAAAAAGAACAGTTTCCCGCGACGATCGTCACGTCCGTGTGATCGAGCCTCGTCCACAGGGACTTGATGTTCTCCTCGTAGGTGCTCGTCGCCAGACAAACCTCCGGTGGCATTGGCTTTGGCGGACAAAACGGCGCCTGCAGGACATTTCATGAGGATTGTTATAACCTTTTTCAAAAAAAGGCGCCAGTTTTTTTTTTCTTCATACACTTCGTTTGGAGCAAACAAAGAAAAGTCGTGTACCTGGAGCAGAGGTCTCTTGACCCTCTTGAGGTTCGTCATCCAGAACCTCTGCTGTCTCCGAGCTATGAGGGCGGCCCTGATGGAATTCTCAAAGACTTCGTTGACGCCGTAGTACGTGAAGACGCTCGTCTCGTAGTAACAGACGCCCAACTCGCGAGCAACCGCACGTGCCTCATCCGGCATCACGAGGTCGCTTTTTCGCGTGGCCCTGCCATGGATAACGAAACAAAAAGAAGAAAAATTTTTAATTTAATTTTTCCAATCATCGGCCGTCTGACCAAAATCTCACTAGATCTACTTATTTGTATCACCTGACAAAGGGGCTGCGATCGCGAAAGTAGCTGAGGTAGGTCTCGTCGCGGTACATGTACCGCAGATCGTTCTTGCAGCCTACCAGCAGCACCGGAGTTTGGGGGCAAAAGCGACGGATCTCCGGGTACCACATCGCCTTGCAATTTCTCAGCGACACGGGGTTCGTGATGGAAAAGCATAGTAGAACCACGTCTGATCTGTTTGCACGTTACACACCAAAGGCATTAAATCCATCATGTATGTTTTTTTGTTTTGAAAATTAAAAAAAAAAGAATAGGTTTACCTCCCGTAGGCGAATCTTCGATCTTTCTCGTGATCGCCAAAGGTGTCCCACAGCCGCAACGACACGTTCACGTTGTCGACGACCTCCCAGGAGCGCTCCAACACCTATTGACCAAATGTATTTTCATCTCTCTTTCTCTGCAGTACCTCCTCTCAATTACAAGTGAATAATAATAACGATACACATACTAATGTGAAAGAACGAAAGCGCAAAAAAAAAAGAAAAGAAAAACCAGTTATCATCCAATAGCCCCCCGTTAAATGTAGACTAAAATTAGCTCCACCTCGTAATCCCGGGCCGTTTATTTTTAATCGCAATAATAATGAACAATAACAAGCCGATTGAGTGGCGCGCCGTTGTCGGGCAACCGCGGCTTTTCATCCCATTGTCGGCCGGCCTCGTGTGGAGTACTCGCGTACAAGAGTATAGAGAGGGGCATCATAATGCGAGGGTTCGTTGAACGGAGAGCAGCCTCTTTTTTGTCCCTGCCGGCTCTGGTGCGTGGGGGAGGGGGCTCTTGATTGAGCTGCTCTTTCTTCTCGCGACGGGCGAAAGCTCTTTCCGCTCGAGCGCAGGGGGGAAGGGACCAATTACCCGCAATTTGCCCACTAGTCGCTGTTCTATTTTTGCACTTTCGTTACTCTCGAAAGATATATCTTTCTTTTTTTCCGTTTATACCGTCGCTCCTCCTTTGACACAACGCGAAACCTCGTTTTGTTTTTGGTGGGCGAAGGAGGAGGAGGAGGGAAAAAAGAAAAAAAAGGATATTATACGCGTGTAGAGTATCGAATGCGATTACATCTTTGTAGATCCTGTATTGATCGATGGCCCAGACTGTGGGCACGTGTGTCGTGAGCAGCTGGGAGAGCGAGACGTGCTTGTTGCAGGCCCGGGCGCAGATCAGCCGGGTCTTGCCGACCGCCGTGTCACCGACGACCACGCACTTAACCAGCTCTTGGTGGGGCTGCTCATTGTCCATCACCGCGGCCTGAGCTTACCGCGGGCCCCCGCCGGCCCCGGCCCCGACACTTTGGCCCGCGTCGTCACCTACTATCTTGATCCTCCGATTATCACCAAATGACAGAGACCTCGCCCTCCGTCGCCTCGCACGCGGTGGCTCCTTGGGGCTCTTGGTGGTCCCGATGCCGAGCGAGTTGCGCTTCAAGCCGGGAATAATCGCTCGTACAAGGTGGCTCTGGAAGGCTCGTTTTCGGGCGTTCGATGGCACGACGCCGAGGCTGCATTCGCCCTGAAACAATTTTTTTTTTTTTTTTTTTTTTTTTTTTTCTTGTTTTTGAGAACTACATGTGCTTGAATTTCTCCATTAGCGGTGAGTAACCTATACGTTGTAAGTAATCTTTTTGGTACAGTCAATGAAAAAACAAACAAAAAATGCTTTATCTTGTCGTGCTCTTAAAAACCTGATGTGATGGGAGAATGTCAACGCTAAAATGATAGCACGTGAGCGAATCGAGTGGGTGCGGCAATTATTCGACTCTTCCTCGCGTATACAGCCTCGGGGGAGTTTATACCGGACAGGTACAGCGGCGCCCGTCTCTTTTATCGATCAAGGATTATCTTTTGTACAGCCATACTTTGCGATCGAAACGTTGAATGAAAGAACCGGTACGTGATTTCATCTGAACTTGCGCTTCGAGAAAAGTGGCGTGCAACTTTGTCGCGGGACTCTCCTTTTTTTTTTATGTACACGTATCCGATAATTGTATCTCGTTCTGTTCCACGGCGACCTCTGTTCTGCATCTCACACGCGATCTAAATGTAAATGTGAAGAAAAAGTTTCGAATCGATTCACTGTGAAAGCCCACTTCATACGTTTCAGTAGAACCAGCCGAAACTCGTCAGACGCACTCTACTCGCTCAGCGTTACAACAAAAAAGAAAAAAACATACTCGAGTCGTGGGTACTTAAAAAGCATTTGCAAAGAAAAAAAATGCATATCCCTCGATCCGGAACATGCGGAGCCCAGCGGATGTGGCGGCCCGTTGCGCCAAACGGCTCTTTACCACGTAAACGTGTAGACGTGCATATGTACCTACAGCACACAGCGCTACCTCCTATTGATTTGACCCCGTAGTAGTTCTCGCTTTCTCTTTTGCTTCCTCTCGCTCTCCCTCGGGCTCGTTCACTTTCGTTTTTTAAACCTTTCATTTCGCATACATGGAAATGAAAATGGTACAAGTTTTTGGGGGAATGAAATTCTCACCGACTATACTCGGAATGGCTTAATTTGCGCTTGTTCGTACAAAACTTTTTGACTTCATAAGTAAAAACCTGCGACGATTTTTCTTCAATGTTAGCTTCCATTTTTTTAAAATTTACTTGTTTTTTTGCTAAAAATTTTGTTCATAGAACATACGACGAGAGCTTTTTTTATTCTTCAAGTTCGACAAACTCGTGGTCCCCAGTTTTTAGGTCAGACTTTGGTAGATACACAAATCACGACCCTGAACGATAATCGGAGCGTTTTGGAACCATTTTCAAAAACCCTAACAAAAGTTGTGATGCGTGTGTTATACATAAAGCCTATCCCTTTGGGAACTTTAAAAGTTTATTCATACTTGAGGTGCGACAAATATTTTTGGTATATTTTTTCGTTGGGTCATTCCGAAACGTAACATACTCGGGCATGCATTGAAATGTAGATCATTGCATCATAAATACCTAGATGAAAAATAAATAAATACATATTTGACACTCTTACTTGAATATCACATGAAATTATTGATAACAGTTTTTGCAAAAAGTATCAAAATTTTATCCAAAACAATTATTCTCGGAGCAAAAATTTGTCGATAAATAAGTTTATACACGTATATATATCTGTGAGATGGAGGAACTTTTTTAATTTCAAAAGCTGATCCGTGTAGCTGTTCGCCAAAACTTTTTCAGGCGGCAAATGTCTTTTTAAAAGTAGAAGCAGAAAACTTGAAACAGCGTCTTTCGTATTTCTTGAGCTTTCCCGTACTCCCGATAAAATTCAATAGAAAAGGCGTTGGAAATTATTTTTACCCTTTATACGTAATTATTTTACTATATGACTTTGCAACTAGTTATAAGCCATGTTTTTTCTAATAATTACAATGGTCCGTGAAAAAAAAAATTCTTAGGAAGAACTTTAATGTGGGGCTAATGTGTGCCAAGAGTGCCATTTTTGATTATCTGACCGAGTAAACTGTGACAATAAATACGAGTAGATGAATTTGCGGAAAGTTTCTGCGTCAAGTTTGTCTCAGAGAAGAAGCAGCAGTCGATTAACAAAGTGGAGGCCACGGCAACAGCAGCAACAACGATCGGTACCAATCAAAGCGAACCACTTGCAACCGGTATGGGAATAAAAGGCACTCGGTGTCCTTAGTTCGCTCTGTAATGATTTTTGCCCGGAAACATCGAGTTTCAAACGTGAAAGATATTGGCATCGTTTGAAAAAAAAGTAACTCATTTAAATGAGTAGACACGTGTACACCTTTAATATTATTAGGTACTGGCAAACGATTACGCCAATCAACAGAAAAACACTAGATAAGTTTTCGAAAACAAATGTAAAAATTACCATATTTTTTATTTATGTCTGATGATACTAATATTATTGAATTTCAACTGGAGATGTACACTAACAGACGACGATTCAATCCGGCTAGCCCAACTGACTTATTGTTTGCTGTTTATACGATTTGCACTGGGAGTACATTCATCAAGAAAACATACAACTAAACAAAAGCTTCGATCGATCAGCTATACACACACACACACACACACACACTCTGTCCCGAGCTTATAGTGATTTACTTGTCGGCCGACTTTGCGTATTATCGTCGCTTGAGGTGTCTCTCACGTAAAAGTAAACAGGTAGGTGTGTGCAGGCGTTACAACAGCCAAGTCGCGTCCCTCGGCATATATTGAGCGCCCCATATAGCGCCAAACGCTCATACCACGTTTGCCACCCGATGCCGCATATATATACGTGGAAAAACGATCTGATCCGAATTAGTCCCCACCCGGCGTTAGGATGAATTGGATACTTGTCACCCGATATATTTCATCCCAAGTTCCGCAGACAAAAACCCGTATACCCACTGCTACTTGTTTTTCGTATCAAAAGCCAATAATAGTAATAACATATATTAATAATAATTCAGTAAGACTTTTGCAACTGCATCACATGAAATAATATTGCAGTGGGGCGTAAAAGTTTCAAGGCCACAGTTGTACGATGCATGAACATATCGTAGCAATGGGGGTTGGAAGGGGGAGAGAGCTAGGGGGGGGGAGTTGAAAGGGTTGGATTGAAGGAAATTGGCACTGGAATCATTATATCAACAGCTCGCGTGTAAAAAGTTCATAACCGGACCTACACCACCTGTGTTCAGACGGTATAGGTAGGTATATACATACGCGTTGCGGCGAGCGACTCAATGCCCCACCGGCCGGCTGATTGATTTTTCATTCAGGGTGAAGGCTGACCCGGCGCTATCATCGTACTTCTCGAGCTGGTTGTCGATAGACATTTACTTAATAAAATCTCCGTTTCGTACTTCCCCGTCACAGGTGCAGGTAGGTAAGTGTAACCCCGTGAGTAGTAAGGGTGAGTAATTTCCAGACACCTCTGACGTCACCGTCTGGCTCCGACGGTCGGGCCCGGGGTGAGTGTTTGGTCGTCCTCCACCCTCCTCCAACGACACTTTTTGTTCAACGAGTAAAAGTGAGCCCCACAGTTTTGATTGCACATGCAAAGACTTTAGCAAGCACTACTGCAAAATATCCAATCACCCGTGTGGAAGTTAAATATTTTACTATGCACAGTGGTATTACAGGCGACTGTTTAGAAAACGTTATTCTTGGCTAGTTACCAAAAAGAATAATACTAGGTTTCGTCGACAACAAAGCTTTCAACGAGGACAGAAAACTTAACCCCTTTAATTTCCAAAATTACTCTATTAATTTTTTGTCATTATAATGTTGATGGGGTACAAATTTCAAGCAAACCATTACAACCTGCTTTTACAGGAAGTGGATCCATGTACGTTGAAGCTTATCAGACATTATTTTCGGGCTCTGGAATACATTACATGAACGAGGGAAACAACATACACAGAAAATATCATCTTTTTGCATTTGATCTTACACCGGATTTCAAAAACCGCGCCACTCCTCGAAGCTCCAAAATTACCCAGCTAGGAACCCCGCTCCTCACCCTCCTCCAACAGCACGACCAAACTCTCAACCCAGGGCCCAACCGTCGGAGCCAGACGGTGACGTCAGAGGTGTCTGGAAATTACTCACCCTTACTACTCTCGTGGGCCTCAAATTGGGTGCAAGCAGTAGGTATGTGTGTGCATATCAACTCTTTTATCATCATCATCTTCCTCGATCGATTCTACGAAAATCATCGCAAAAGGTTCAAGAATGACCCTCGTGACCTATACGTCGGCATACGTGCTAACCGATTGCATTAATACATAATTATACACACGGATAAATACACGTGTAAAACTTTATAGTTAAACTGTTTTCATGCGTCTCTTCTATTGCACAATGTCCGTCGTTAGATCGACAATTTTAATAGATGCGTATGCGAACGTACATCTGCGTCTCAGTGTGATCGGACAATGCGAAGAAAGACGAGGCTTTGAGACTCGCAATGAAAGTTACGTGTAGCAATGCAACATCTCTTCGGGGTCCATATATACATGTATATACGTACAAACATTGTTGACAAACAAAAGGGGGACGTGGAAAAGACGAGGGTTATAATTGTAAAGTGGCTCGATTGCTGCTATGTGCAGGCTGCAGAGTCTCCGTGTGCTACGTTGCATCGAGTACAACATACTCTAAACGAACGCAATGCGTCGAAGCTACAAATGTACACATGTTCAGAGTCGTTCAATTGAGCCCGTGATACCCAACGCGGTGGTGTTATAAAGGGGAAGAAAGAAAAAAAGCTGGACGCCGAGGCCTTACAAAAACGAAGAAAGGAAAGAAAGCATCGGATCTTGTCGCGGAAAAAAAAGGGACGTGCAAGGGTTCCCTTGCCAGTGCTTCGACGTATATTTCAGAGTTGTCACGTACAGCCGATCGTCTCCCAAGGGAGTCTACCAAGTATGCTTGTCTCATGTAAGGTTTCTTTTTGCTTTTTTTTTTTCCTTTTTTTTTTTTTTTTCATACAACAAAAAAAGAAAAGAAAAAATTGTACACCACATCAAGTGATAAAGTGTTGGGGACACTTAGCCAGCAGAATTTTTATGGGTTCGTCGTTGTTGCCATTAGGTGCAATCTAAATTATATAGCTATAGCTGTTTGTATAACGACACACGATGTCCATCAAACTAAAAAGGTAAGCTTCAGTCTCTGGATAAACGTGCATTGGTGCAAAAAAGAAGAGATAATATAAGAAAAATTAAAGAAATCCGTGACAAAAGGATTGCCGTATCCTGGCGCAAACCGTAGATTGCGCCACTAGGAGCAAGCGGTCGTAATTTCCGCTGCTTGCAAGGGGGTGCACAATATGTAAACATATATATATATAATATCGTCCTAAAGATTACTGTTTTTCTCATTTTATTTGGATATGAATTGACTTATCGCAAGAACACGCTACTTTGTCGTATTGTATTGTGCAGTGTATGTACATATTTTTTTTTTTAGCATTTTTTTGTTTCCTTAAAACATAGTTCTTATAAACAGTTTGTTGTAGTCACTTTGCCGGCAGATTGAAAAAAAAATAAAAAAACAAAAAAGTAAAAAAGCATCGAATAAAATTACGAAATTGCGTAATTTGTCAATTACCGTGATATTAAATGTCATCAAAAAGTAGATAAAAAAACGAGGATTTTGATTTTTTATATATGCACAGTTTTTTATCAGAACGCGCTAAAACAAGCGTTACGAATAAACGGCAATAAAGATAGTTTTACTTTTTTTTTTTTTTTTTTTTTTTTCAGAAGTATAGTCATTTAAATTGCAACGCGACAATTGCTTATAAAATTGATCACCAATTAAATTGACGACTACTTTGACTTTACTTTCAACCTCGCAAACATTGATATTGTCGAGACATTGTCAAAGGGTAATCGGAAGGAGAAACTGATTAGACGCAGCATACATGCGTTTAAAAAAAAAAAAAAAAAAAAAAAACCATCAAACTTCCTCCACCTGTATTATACCGCGAAAAAATTACTAAGCGAAATTCCGGTGCTGATTAATACTCGAAATAAACGCAAAAATGATAGTCCCAGAGTGCCGAGCTAACAGCATACTAAATATCTGCACAGGTATAATACACGCAACTATAAAAGTGCACACATGTACAACAATTTGGGATTTGAGGCGTTACGTAAAGCCGCCGATAGATCGTGGTGAAGAGATATACCACGGCATATACGTACAAGTAATCAGCAAGCAAACGTATGCATGTGTATACACGGGGGATGATGATGGAAAAGGACTCTGGAGCATAGAAATTGAAAAGGTCATCGTTTTTCCCCAGGGAGGTATAAAAAACGTGACTATGTCGTTTACAATTGATTACTGACTGTGGAGGTATGTGCATATATATATATATATATATATATATATATCTTGGACAGATATTGTTGACACGGTATTTTATTGCAAGGAATATAAGCGTTGCGGCTATTGTTTGATGAAATTGCGTAACCATACTGGAATTTTACTTTTCATTTTTATTCGATGGCTCTGTCGACAAAATCATAAATACTGTCCTCGCAGCTCTTTTCGACAACCAAAGTAAAATTCATCAAGCTCTATAACATTTGCGAAGCTTTAAATCTTACGGATTGAATGTTTCTTCATCTAAATTTACGCTTCTCCGGTGGTGCTATAGATTTTTAGTATAATATTGACCTATACAGTGCACATACATACTTATCCAAAGCGCATCGTTTTACTGGTGAACTAATTTTTTTTTTTCCGCAAAGTATCGCTTGCCAGAGTTATAATAGCTGTAATGCAGTGCTTCTTTTTGTTTCGCTTTTTGATATTTAATATTGAAGTACAATATGCGATCCAACAATTTACAAATAAGCATATTTTATAAAAAACTTATTACTTATTCAAGGCACATAGTTATTCGTACATTAGGAGGGAAAAAAATTAATGGTAATGAGTCGTACCATAAAACAATGACAGGATAAATCAGCAAAATCAATAAAAAAAATGGTAATGTCTAGTTACAAAATACAAGTGAGAATTGTTACCTTTAGGCCTAAGCGCGATCGATGCCGATGGTCAATGCTGCAACTGCGACAAGAGGCGAGTGACATTCGATCGGTTCGTCACTCCCCTCATGCTCCCCTTCACTTCCTTTTTTCCCTTTTTTTTGGCCACTGTGCCGATACACATATAAATACATTTACATACTTAGAATTTTGTGCTTTTATATACGATAAAAAAAAAATTTCCTAACCACTGAAATACGTCTTACTGTAAACGCTCGTTTGCTTTAATTTTTTAGCGAGAGTTATTATGTGTCAACGACCATCATTCCTAAGTTAGTAGATAATAATAATAATAAGAACAATCAGTAAATGAAACCTGGAATTGGTTTCTACAAAAATACGTTATTTTCGTATCATTTCAGAAATTTTTTCCACCTTACTAAGAGTTTAAACTTTTTCTAATAAATAAGGGATCTCTGCATAAATAAAACGGTTGTGACAGGTATAAGATTCTTTGTTCCACGATGAAACAATATTACATTTACAGATTTTCAGGTATAAAATGTTGATACAAATCATATTTTTCCATAGAGTATAGAATATTTCTTAAAGTCGACATTTTAAAAAATGAGTGCTTTGTAAAGCTTGTCAATTTTTTTGTCGCAAACTATTATTTCCAGGTATCAATTAATGGCTAAAAGAATTTGAGCAGAAAGAAATGAAAAAAAGTTTTTTGGCAAATGCATGAAAATTTATGTATGTAGAAAGATTAAATTTTTTCAGCCAAACTTTTTTCTTGACATTTTAATCATGAGCAAGGTGACGTTTTTTTTTCTTTCCAATCACAAAGAAAAGGTACGATGCCAATGTCGAAATTTTTCGTGCTCGGCACTGCGGTATTAATTTTTAGGGATTGCGTGCTCGAAATAAAATTGCAGTTAGTAAAGTTCGTTAAACTGATTTCAGTCATATCATGTGTAGCGATTTGAATTCATGAGAACAAATAAACGACGGCCGTCACGGAGAAACATTTTCATAAAACCAAATATCGGGATACTTCGGAAAAAGGTAGTGCCATTATATTAGGGACATTCAATGATTGACTCCCTATTTCACTGTTTTTTTTTTTTTGTGATTATCAAAGGACCAAAAATTAAGAGCATCTGAAAAAGTACGTTTTCTCATCCCAAAAAAATCACACGCCACTATACAACGGCTGTAACTATATACCCTCGAAAGACCCGATCGAATGAAACGCGAGATCCAAGCACGTGTAACTTGAATTTTTTATTGCACAGCCATGCGCTATACAACGCGTTGCAGCAGCGCACGTGAACAATTTATTTCCTAAAGGTCAATGCTTTTCTCGTGACATAACCGAACGTAGGCGCGCTTCGCTAGATCGACTACTTATATTCCGTACACCGTCAATTAAATCCCCCTTCTTGCATGTATACTCATAGACATTACCGTGTATCTTTAATTTTTATTTACCGCACCCCGGATCCGAGTGGCCAAAAAAATTAACCTGCACCTTTTAGCCAAAATACAAAAAAAAAAATGGGTCCAAGGGCCGTGCACGGATGTGGAGGTAAAACCGCGTCGCTAAGACGTTAGAGTACCCTAGTACCAACAGAAAGAGTACCTGTACGTGCGCGTGTCCGAAACAAACAAAAAAAAAGAAAAAAAAAAAAAAAAAAAAAAGGGTTGCGTGTACAGTGCACCAGCGCGTCAGATGCGGCGACTCAACTACAAGGTGCAATTATTGATTTGTAATGATTATCATGTTCGGATTCTCGATTGTCGCCATTTGTGCCGAAAAAATCACCGACAATCCCTTCCTTCGGGGGCCACAAGCGCACATTATTTCAAGCTCCACCGAAGCTTTTTCCCTCCCTCTGCGCGGAATCGATATCAGCCAACCTCTGCACCACCGGGTCCCCCTACCCTTCCCCTCGGCCCCTTTTAAAGCTAGACGGAGGGCCAGACTGCTGTCAGTCTTGCTCCAGATAAATTAAAAAAAAAAAAAAAAAAAGCTCGCGCACCTTTATCTCTTTACTTTCGTTCTCTCTCTACAGCCTCCACTTGAGACAACGCTGTTTGCACGGGAGACACGGGCGCGCGCACACACGACTGCAGGATCGGGTTACATATATTATGTGCACGAGTGTTTTATACAGCGGATGCGTCGGAGTGTCGGGTGAGAAGAGGCGCGTGCCAGCCTCGGATCACTACTGGCGAGTCGCGGACGGAGAACCTTTGCCCTGCTCCCCTTATGCCGCGGCTGGAGAGCTTGCGCGCCGCCAGTGTGTACCTCGAATCGCCTCGCGGGGCTTTGATTCCATTGGGTCAAAGAAGGGGGAGGGCAGACCGTATCTTCACCGTTCATCACCGATCACCGATTTCTTTTTTTTTTTTTTGTATTGGGGAAGTTGACGGGCAAAGGGGAGTTTTTTTACAATTTTATACGAGCCGTCGGGTTTTTACGAATAGACGGCTTTTTTAAATCGCCCCACTGGATAGTTTTGGGCAAACATATTCGCTTGTAATCTTTGTCGTTCTTGACGTACGTCACGTGGAAAAAGGGTTTCACGTTTTGGTGGTTTTTGCATCCCGTGAAACTCGACGTTAAATTTTGCGAAATCTCTGTAGGTTAACGAAAAAAAAAAAAAAAAAAAAAAAAAAAAAAACCTTAGATGCGTGCGCACTGTCGTTGCAATTGCCGGACAAAGAGTTCCGTATAGGAGATCGGAAATTTGAAAGAGAACAAAATAACGAGCTTCCAAAATTCGAAGGAGTACTATAAAAAAAAATTAATATACCTAAGCTGAATTGAGAGCACATTGGTATGACTTTTTTTTACTACCACTTTAAACACAATACAGTTTAGAAAAATGTAGATGTGAATCAAAACATATCTATGATGAGCTTGCAAGCTCGGCATTGTACTTTTTTGTCATTAATACTAAAATGTGAAGTAAAAAAAAAAAATTTATCAAATGTTATGCACAGGGAATCATAGTTAAAAATATTTTTTTAAATTTAATAACCAAATAAAAGCATGGTTGGCACTAGTTCAGCAATGACACCGAAGTTTATCGAAAAAGCTGGAGGTGTACACCAACAGTTTCTGCTTTACCAAAGGAGCTGCAAAAGACATATTGAAATCCATTCTGAGAAACATCAATGAGATTCGAGCGGGCGGTCTCATTCAAACCTCGCCTGAATGGACGAGGCCACAATTTGCAAGCCCCTCGACGGTATCGTGGATACGCGGAAACGCCTCGGAGGTCGCGCTGTCAAATGGTTTTCGCCGAATCGCAAGTGGTTGATGCTTTAGATATTGATCCGCCCGAGCTTTTGAGCTTGCGCTCGAACCATGTGTTGGACATTTTTTTTTTTTTTTTTCATGTTTCATGCCTTACCGGCGTTTTCAAAAGAGCGATCCGTCATTTTTTACTTTTCTTTTCGTCGCTATTTACAATTAATGCTATTTAGTTTTTGCACCAACAATATTGATTGTTTTAAAAATCCTTCGAACTTTTGAATTGAAATTAATTGCTGATATGAAACAACGAATAAACTTTCAATCTTTCTTTACGATGTGTGTGATAAACGTTGAAATGTTAAATTATATGATACTTGTGGCTAGTTGTATAAATATTGTCCGATTATCTTTCAATACCTACTCAAGAAATTATTTTTATTCGATTTAATTATCAAACATCAATTTACCCATATCAATAAAAACTTACAATTCTTCAAAATGTTACATTGAAAAATACGTTTAATACCTCAATATTTTACATAATAGTTTAAAATATATAAAAAAATTTTTTTTTCTTCCTGCTGCATTACACCAGTGGTAACAATTGTAATAATAATAATCGTTAGATAATATATTACGAGATTATCGTGCACTTATGTTTATTCAGTTTTAATAACCGACAGCGCTAAAAGTTATTGATTGCATTAGGCGAATTAAATTCAATGTTTAATCATTTTATTCCCTCCTCGCGCGCACCAAGTAAAACCAGCAAAAATGTACTCGCCTAGTAACACTCAATTGTTAAAACTTTTAATTTATTATTTCAAAATTTTCGGAATAGCCCCGATTAAAGCCAAAATCATGAAACACAACGGGACGGTCTTTTGGACGTTCACCGATTCAAAATGCAGTGCATTTTACGGGGTGATACTAATTGTGACAACTGCGACGTTAAACTTGTTGTTTATTTTGTGTTACGAGGTAAAGGGATTTTTCAGCGGGACCAAGTTCGACATAGTTATCGACGTCACTCAAGATTTCCTCTTACTTCTGACAACCACTATCATACTGGTGACGTACATTGTCAAGCGAAAAATGTTGGTTGAAATCGGTAACAAAATAAACATGGCGAGGCAACGGTCGGTAAACTTTTTCGACCATCAAGTCGTCAATGAGGATGGCTCGATCACGCATAGCGGCACGATAATTATGATCGTCGTTATTGGATTTTTCTGGGTCGTGTACTGTTCAACGATTACCAATCAAAGCGAATATTTGGTTTACTGTGTTTCCGTGTACATCAGCATTTTAATTATAAAAAACATGTACATGCAGTACATAATTATTTTGAAATTGTTGGAGCAGCTTTTCAAAAATATCAACAATAACGTTCGATTCATGTTGGAGGATCAGGCTAAGGACAACAACGAAATTTTCATTGAATCTGAGCGCGCCGTTGATAAAATTGTCTTCAGATTGAACTTTTTGCACAAGAGTCACCTGTTTCTCAACGAAATATCCCAAGATTTGTCCAGTTTTCACTCCTGTCCAATGCTGTTGAGTTTAATCGAAAAGTATTTGTCGTTGGTTGTTTATGCGTACCACTTTTCCAAGCCTATTGTTCTCGGAATAAACGATCTTACGACGATAGATTTGGTGCATTGTTTAGCGTACTGGTTGCTATGTGCCACGGAGTTGGTGTTTTTGACTACATCGGCTAGTTCCGTAGTGGCAGAGGTAAGAATAATTTCATGTCAAAATTTTGTCATCCTTCGTATTTAGTTAGCATAGGTGTGATCTTGCAGAGCAAAAAAACGGGCTTGATTATAAATTCTCTTCTGGTCAGTACAAATGATAAAAAAATAGCTGAAAAGGTAAGGAGGTAAGTAATACGTGTCATGTATAATTATGATCGATACTTTCAATGATTGTTTTTCAGATTATTCAATTTTCCATGTATTTGTCTTACAACGATGTGAGGTTCAATGTCTTCAGTCTTTTTTCCTTAAACGAATCTTTGTTGTTGTCAATTTCGGGACTGTTAACAACCTATTTGGTGATTTTATTTCAGTTTCAAGACAAAAACTGAAAGTCCAATTATAATGTTATTTTATGTATTATATAAACGCCTTTATGTTTGTATTTGGATAATGAGTAATCATTGTCGATTAAAATTCTTCATGCTGCATGACAAATTATTTTTCAGTAAAATATTTGTTGAGTTTTTTATAATAGCGCGTCAAAGTTTTATCATTTATGAATTTAAAAAAATGACACAACTTTAAAGCTTTTTTTTTTTTTTTATCATTTTACACCAATTACATCGGTAAAAAATACGATATAACTTAATATTTAATTACTTTCTGCGCTACGTGACGTTCTACACTGCACGTAAGACAACATATTGATAAAATCACACGATAATTAATGGCTGTTTATCACAAACGTTGGGATCATTGATTTAATCATCAGGTGCGACTGAACAGGCCCGGATCAGGTCACATACGTGTACAAAACCGGATCCTGAATGCAAATTTAGCAGTGTATAGACAACAACAATAACAATAACAACAAAAACAACAGAAGATCGCTCGAGCAGCTGATTTCGTAAACTATTTATCACTTTCAAGGTGAATATTTCAATTATTTTATAAGCGATTTGGGTGATTTGCGCCACAAACATATTTACGAAAGCAACTGAGATACTGGTTTTTTTTTTCTTAGTAACATTAAAGCCGAGTCTATTCGCACTTAAATCCACGTATTTACAGTTCGTAATTATATCGTGGATTTAAGTGCAAAGAGACACAGCGAACTAAATTGGATCATTAAAAGATCAAAGAAAAACCACAACAACGCAATTGAATCATTTTTAATGCCACATTTAAAAAAATACTGCAATGGCTCATTTTTAATTAAGCCCTCTATTACGTTTTAGAACAGCATTAATAATATAAATGACGTCAATTCTTGCAATATTTATCTAAAAAAAGAAACACTAGCTGTATTTCTGACGGGCGTAAACTCTTATATTATTTACCGCGAGCCACACACTCTCGATCGACTCTATGGTCTGCTACATCTATATACATCGAATAAATGGCACCAGCGCCATCTAGCGTTACGATTTATTTTTCGACAGTGAATTCTTTCTGGCGAAAAACCCTAGGCCACATATATATAGCACTAATGTCTAGGGTTTTATTCAAGACGATTCCCCTAGACTCCCTAGAGAATCGTTCGCCGTTCGCGAAATCTGAAACGCTAGATGGCGTTGACGATCTTTAGATAAATTAAATATAGATATAGCAGGCAGGCTGTAGAGCTATAGAGCTCGAGAGTTGCAAATGTAAATGTAAATGTTTCTTTTTTTGGTGAATGTCAATTAAGTAATGATTAATGTGCAATATGTGACACAGTTTTGATATAGGTATTAATTGAAGCGCCAATTATCAGTTGTAATTTCAGTGCTCGCCATCTCTTCAAGCCATCCCCAGGTCCCCAGGAGGAATCTAAGCAAGAATTATTTTACGTGTAATCTATACCTATAAATTTAATGTCATCGTTGCTTAATTAAAAACATTGTCATGTGATTCGTAGGAAATGTTTTGTATCAAAGTAGTCAACAATTAAAAAAAAATAGTCGATGGATAATATATGCATGGATGTATGTGATTGCAAAATTTTCAGGTTATGTATGGGACATTTTTTTTTTAACAATTGTTTGAATAAAAAAATAGGGAATCTAGCAAGTGAATCATTTTACAGCTCATATACTAATTAATTTATATTATTTGAATGGAAGTATCTAAATTAATGTTCAATCAATTACTGCTTTCATACATGACATGTTTTTATGGATACATAACATACATGTTTATCTGAAGCAGAAATTTTAAAGAAAATCTTTTTTGAACAGCAAACATGTCGAAAGTAAAGGAACGTGGTTTGTTTGTCATGATATTTAAGGATTTCATAAGATCTATAACACCGAAATTTCCAAAACACACGCTTGTTGGAGTGGACTATTTTGGGACCAAGTATTATGAAATCGAAAGAACAGAATCTGCTCATAAAAAGCCCAACCGCTATTTTGTACCCAAAGAAAAAGATAATTTTGAACAGGAAATGCCAGCTGAGTGGGAAGCTTGGTTGAGACATCGCAGAAGGGTAGCACCCACCGAGGAAGAGGTAATTTTTTTATCACATTTATTAAGTTGATTTTTTACTAAAAGTAAGAGCAAAATATAATTATTTAGGTAAGTGCCAACTACCAGATGATATTAACTAAGAGGGAAAACGCGGCGAAACTTGAGGAAAAGTATGCCAGTGAAACCGAGGTTCTTGAAATCGTGGATCCTAATGTAAAACCTCTTAATCAGCATGCTTCAATTGGCTTTCCAGCTTATGATGAATATAAACAGTTTGGTCAGAATTACAAACCAAAAATTAAAAAAGAACATTGATTAGTTAGTTTTTGAATTGTATAGATAGATGTTTATTGTATCATAGATGTTTATTTAGTTATTGGTATTATTTAAGTACTGCTTTGAGATTGGGTAGATTATGAATAAATTAAATGATTTATTTTCAACTAATGAAGCAAGTTTTTTTTTATTTTTCTCATTTGATATAAACACCTTAAATCTTTTATTAATGTACACAAGAGCATTTAGTAATGACTGTACATTGTTTCTGGACATTTGTCTAGTTTAGACATGATGTATAATTTTTTTTGATGTTATACACCCATGCTTGATGTAACATAACACTTACAAATAATTATCAAGTATTGCACTAAAGATAGGAATGGTTTCAAGAAGTTGAATCACATGTTTTAAAATTACAAAAAGAGTAATTTCACTAGTAAATATTTATAAAATTTAAGCAAGACTTATCTGCATTAAGCATAATCTATTTTCCATAGGAAAAAGTTTTGTATCTCCTTGAAGAGCACCAGTGTCAACAGTAAATTGTAATGAAAATTTTATCATGTATTAGTATCAAGAGTAACTTTTCATTAAATTAAAACTATGGTTCATACCGTACATAATCACAGTAATTGTATGTACAATTAATTACAAACAAGATATTCAATCTATGAGTAAGATTTTATTTCTTTAAAAAAATTGAATATTTAAGTTTATGAAAATTCAATAAACAAACTACATAAATGCAATTATAAAGTCTTAACTCAAATTTGTTACAAGAGCATCATTCAAATCTCCTGTACTTTTTTGCATTTTATATGTGTTGTAAGATTAAAATTATTTGAAATAAATTAATCTCAGTACAACTCAGCCATTATCAAAACAACCAAGGAACTCCATCCAGTAAAAGGATGGCTGCCTTTACCCTCCCCTTCATTATCTCCATAATTTTCCCAAATATACCCTGTTCTTTTATATTGTTTAAAAATGTTATCAATCAAGTTCTTTCTCAACTGTGAATAAATCATCCTAGCTTTGGCCTGGTATGGCCCATCAACCATTGAATAATGATGCAGTGCTGCTACAGTCAGATAATTCATGTTGATCCAAATAGGTCCACGCCAGTATGGTGGATCGTGTTCCGTGTTATATTTATTATAGATCGGTGAAGACTTTGCCAGTGACCTCAGACCCATGTCTGTCCACAGTAGATCTGGATTCTTGAGATCCTGGAGGATTTTCTGCAGCTGAGGCGAATCGGGCTCTACTAGACGTAAAATAAAAGGGAAAAGCGAAACGTAGCCAAAGTTAGAGTCGACAAATTGTTCTTTAGGATCCTCCAATTGCTCGCGTATTGTCTCAAAAGTTTCTTGGTTGTTCCGGTTTATTTTTTTAATCTTTTTCATCTGGATCTTGTCAGTGTGTAAGCCGAAGTCCGAGTAACGCTCAGCTCTTGACGACCAATGCAATTCGTTGAGCAACCTGTTATCAGCTAAGTACTCATAAGTGTCCATGTACTTTTGAGAAGGTTTTTGAAGGATGTCAGATACGGTGGCCATGACTTTAGATGCCATAGCCATCCAACAGCGCAGATCAACGTGTCGCTCGTCTTTGCTTGGATGAGAGGCTCTTGGGTAGTCATCCAAGCCTGACGTTAGGGTCTTGGGGTTGAGCTCTTTGTTAGTGTTGGGATTTCTTCCGCGCCATCTGTAGGAACTGGGCTGTTCGCCTTTCTGTGTAGTATTATACCAATCATACCAAGCCTGCAATCTTGGATATAGCTTTTCCAGCAAGTCCAAGTGTCGTGTCTGAAATTCTTCTCGTCTGTGCTCCAAAATATAATTTAATGTCATGAGGAAAGTTGGAGGATTAGCATTAGCATTGAACTGGACAACAAATTCTTCAGGAACTTTAGCTAGCGCCTCATCGCCAAGAATCATCTCTCTAGGTATCCAGCCTTCGACATTCATCAAGTCAAACCAGTGACTGATAATGTCCATTTCTAGATCGAGATTCCAGTGTGAGAGCAGCATACCATGAAAGCCCTCATCCCATAAGAAACCACGTGGAAAAAAGCTTCTACTTGGCACACCCGTGAAAAGAGGAGCTTTCCAGTAAGGCACAGGTTTTTGGGTGTGCTCACTCTGTACTTGAGGTGACCCATAGAAGTAGCCTACGGAGCCTATCATATTAGAAAAAGCCAGCTTAGCAAACTTGATTCGCGCATTACTAAAGCCCTTTTCTTTCAACTTAAAGATCCTTTCAAATTTATCATCAAATTCCTTTTCATGGGTTTCCAGCATCTTATTAAAATTGTCGCCAGTGATCTTTTCTTTCCTATTTTGGCTCTCACGCTCAAAACTTACCTCCAGCTCTAAAGGTAGATCTGCTGTTATATGTGTGACGATCAAATTATTTTCTTGGTTGTTTACTGGATTTCTTGCTTCACCAGGCAAAATTATGCTACCCTTGACAGATCTCAAACCATGAAGTACAGTCTCTGTTAGTTCACTCAAGCTCGAAGCATAAGTTGACAGATAAGAGTATTGCACATCCTTTCCCTTTAGAGTACTAAAGTTTATTTTGAAGAAGCCAAGCTCCTCTGTCCGACCATCTATGCTTACCAGCCTGCTTTCAGAATATTTACCATCAATAACTTGATCTATCGTAGGCTTTATCTCCCCCATGGTCCTATTCTCAATAGCAGCATAGTACAGCAGAGTTATTCTCCTCTTCTGCTGTGGCAGTGGCTTGATCTCTGTAACGTTGATGTGAGCCGTCCAGTCTCCGCCGTTGTTACCATGTATGTTCTTAATAAAGGATGTTCTAATGAGCGTACCCTTATCAACAATCTCCTGCACACCAAAGTTTTTTCCATCGTGCTTGAGCCATCCATACCTTTCCAGATTATCGTTTTGATCGCACCAATGTCTCATCCTAGGCTCCAAACCAAGCAGCCACATATCTTGTGGATACCACATCATCCCAGTAACAAGGGAGTATGGCACTCTCGTCTTTGTCCCAAAGTAAAGACCTGGTCTATAAGTACCCCAGTAGTACTCCTGCTTGTCCAGTTTACTCCAATCCACCAGCTTGTCATGGCTGAAAGGTGTATTGACTCTCGTCGACTTGAAACCCACGTAGGCAATGACAGCCACAGCCGCGACAGACACGACAACGACAAGGTTGTAAAAGAGGGACGTGTGCCAGTTGTTTCGCTCTGATGACGTGGACACGCTATCCCGGGGAAGTTGGCCGTGTTTATTGGTTTTGCTCGGTTTTGGTTGCCTGTTACCAGCTGCCTCGGGCGATTTTTGTTTACGATTACGTATTTTTTTTTCTTCTTTTTTGAGCATGATACTTGTACTTGTATTATTTTATCTTTACTTACAATAACAATAAATCAAGCATAGAAAGCTTTTTGCTGTTGTGACTGATTCTGTTTCTCAATGTCATCACTCGAGTTCGTCATTGACGTGCTACCAGAATCTCGATTCTGTCATAACTATTATGTATTTATTTGTTACACTTGCTAAATTTACAGTATTCACACAACTAAATTTCTCTTCCCTGTCGACCCTGTCTGTTATAAACAATTTAAGTATCGTAGTTGTCAACTTTTTTTAGTTTGTTTAACCAAAAGTGTCCAAAACCTCAAAACTCCAAAACAAAACTGAACCGCAAATAGCACCGACAATGTCAATTACTTGTTAATTTATACCTATAAGATTACTTGCGGCTGGTTTATAATTTATAATCGATTACGTGGCTCTACTAACTACTACGCTGTGTCGCTGTAGTAATTAATTGGATCAGCGGTCTTCATTTTTGAGCCGTTTGAGCGAAAAGTGGCTCCTAAATTTCTGAATCAGAGCAATCGGCTTAGAGCCATTTAGTCAATTATAAACCAGCCGCAACTAATTTTGTAGATATAAAATAAAAAAATAACGATACATGTGTTTTTGGCGGCAAGTTAACAATCCATCTTTTACTCGAAAATTTATCTTCATAAGTATAAATACATATAAGGTCGATTCTTTGGTAAAAAATAAATTGTTAACTTGCCGCCAAAAACACATGTATCGTTATTTTTTCATTTTATAGTTACGTCATGCGTTGCGGCTGGTTTATAAGTGACTAAATGGCTCTACGCGCTAAAGCTCTGGCTGAAAAGTTTAGGGCCACTTTTTGGTTCAAAAATCCGCAACGCTAGATGGCGCTGATCCAAATAATTATTACTACTTACATTAGAGCAGTTTAATCAACTATAAACCAGCCGCAACTAATCTTTCACATATAAAATAAAACGTTAACGTTGTTTGTGCTATTTGCGGCAAGTGTACAGTTTGTTTATTACCCGAAAATCGACCTCCAAACGTACAGATATTTTACTTATATGGTTTAATAAAATCGACCTTATGGCACTACTTAGTAGTGATTACTATAATTACTACACATAACTTCACATATATCTTCCACCGTGCTCTCTCTTTACCAGAATGACAAAACCAGAGGCTAATTATATATAGGCTATAGGAGGCTCTTTTGTTGAGCTCCGTTTTATCATATTAATCGAATACACGTGTAACACGGATGGATAAACTCGGAATGTTTTTTTTTTATATGATTCTTTCATCTTTGCAATATCAAAGAAAAATATATGCCGAGTTTGCGTTGGTGAAAATCAATAAATGTACTTACAGTATTAATTCAATGTGACTCTGACAATGCAATGTAAAGTCTGTAAGTATATACACGCGACCAGTGTTACACGTTCCCGGGAATGCGGGAATGTTAACTGAAATTTTTCGTAGCGGTACGAAATGTTGAAAAACCTCTTTCAATTCAACAGCGCGTCATTTTCAAAATGTTTATTCTACTACTTCAAAATACTTGGACTAGCTCCCATTGAGTTGAAAATCGTAAAAATGAAGAACAACACGCTACACTGCCGATTACTTTCGACATCCAAGATCAGCGTCGCTTACAACGTATTTTTAATCGTAACGCTAACTGTCCTTAATGTATTGTTCATTGCGCGCTTCTACGAAACTGGATACGTTGGGAGCGACAAATTCGACCGTTTGATGGGCTCCATCGAGGATTTTCTAGACCTACTTTCCGTCATTTCAATATTAACGACGTACACTCTGCTCCGGAAAAACATACTCGCGATGGCCAACAAAATCAAAGCAGCCGAGAAATGGTTCATCATTTTCGATTCCAATGACGAGCACACGAATGAAAAGCAACATCGTACCACCATAATACTACTGTTGATGGTGCAATGGCTTATTTTCACCTTAAAATTCGCTACTATAACGAATCAAAGGGAATACATATTGTTTTGCGCGTCAAAATACTTTAGCGACTTGATAAGTAAAAATACATTCACGCAGTACGTCGTTATGCTGAAACTGATAAAAAAATCGTTCGAGAGGGTGAACGAAAAATTGTCCCGCATTCTACGTGACTTGTCGACTAGGAAAACTGACGTTCTGCACCACCAGCAAAACAATGTTGAGCCTACGGTACAAAAATTAAATGTTTTGCACAAAAATCATCTGTTGCTTTGTGAAATATCGAAAGACGTATCGGATTTTTATGCTTACTCGATGTTTATCAGTTTAATCGATATATTCATCGCGTTGGTTGTATTGGTTTATCTGCTCGCAAAGACCATTGTTTTAGGTGTGATTAACATGTCTGCGATGGATTACATCCACGTAATCGTGTGTTGGTTCAATTGTGTCGTTGCATTGCTATCTTTGACCACATCTGTTGGGGCTACTGTTTCGGAGGTATCTTTCAATATATTATTCAAAATACGAGCTGTTTTAATAAATAACGTTATATGTATGCATTTCGTTGTCGAAAAGAGCAAGAGTACCAGTGGGATAATCAATTCTTGTCTAGTCAATACAAATGATGAAGAGATAATTAAAAAGGTAAGAAATAGGTATGCACAAGAATTTTATTTAAATATATTCAATCATATTATATACTAGTAGAAACTTTTTTCTTCCAGTTAAATCAGTTCTCCAATTATTTGTTGCACGTCGATTTGAAGTTTACAGTGTTTCACCTTTATCGGCTCGATCAATCGATTTTACTATCGGTAAATAAAAAAAAAAAAAAAAAAAAATGAATATTAAGTACATGTACACACGAATTACAAAAATAACGCAAAATTAATCAACATATAGATTTCCGGATCAATTACGACGTATCTAGTCATACTCTTTCAGTTTCAAGATGACAATTGAAAATTTTCATTTTTATTTTTGTCTGCGTCCATATACTTTTGTGTTAACCTTTGATGTCGGTAGGTATACTTTTTTCATACAACAGAGCCAAGTTTTGTTTTCCATTCATAAGCTATTATTTTTAAGTTTCAGGTATATATTTATTCATCACACAATTTACTTTTTTCTCAACAAGTAACATGCTTCTACCCATTATAATTATAACTTTCAAAACGCAGTAACGGTTGAATCGAATAATGGTATTTGTCTAATGCACTTTTATAAATGTGTGTATCGATCGCGAGAGCACGCATTTCTTTCCAGGACGAAGCAGTGCGAAGGAAATGTTTATTCGACGAGTACGAAAATTAAAAGTATGTCGAGGAAAAGTTTAATGCCAAACGAAGTGTTTCTTCTGAAATGCTTGATCTACTACTTCAAAATCTTCGGAATAGCCCCGATCGACTTTACCGTCACTCCCGTGAGCAATAAAAAACACAACTGGTCCTTCGTGAGCTCAAAGTGCGGCGTCATTTACAACACCATCTTGATAATCGTAGTCGCGTCGTGCAATACCTTACTAATTTGGGACTTTTATGTCAGCGGATACGCGGAGAGGGTCAAGTTCGAGAGGACCATCGACGCAATACAAGATTACGCCGTGGTACTTACCGAATCGTTCGTCCTGGCGTTTTTTGCCGTTAAACGAAGAACATTGGTATCGATAGCTAACAAAATTAACTTAGCCAGGGAGTGGTCGAGCCTCTCGGACGGTGGTTCGCGCGGCGGACAAAATTCCTCGGCTACGAGCACAACGATCGTAATAGTGATTTATCTCCTGTTGTGGGTGTCAATGTTCGCGACGATTGTCAAACAGTACGTGCAGTGTTATTATTTCCTCTTGATACTCGTCAGCATCTTGAGGGTCCAAAATGTCATTATCCACTTTTCGGTCGTGATAAAGTTGACGCAGCGATTTTTCGAGAATGTCAACGACGATCTGGCGAAAATCTCGAACGACCTGAGCATAGCGTGCGCAGTGAAATTTGTCCAAAGTGACAAGTCCAAGATGATAGTTTTGAAAAAAATCCACGATTCGCATAAATTGTACATGCTGTTGCACGAGATATCACAAAGTTTGTCCGACTTTTACTCTTATCCGGCTGCCATGAGCTTGGGCCACGGGTTCATGACGTTGGTTTTTGTAGGATACAACATAGCCAAGCCAATTGTCCTTGGAAAAAGTAATTTACCGCTGATAGACGTTTATCGGTGCTGTCAATTTTGGCTCTTGTACGTGATTTGCTTCGTTTATTTGGCCACTTGTGCCGATGCCGTTGTAACGGAGGTACTTACTTTTTATTGTATATATATATATCAAAATACTTTTTGCATATATGAGTATATAACTCAATTTATATTCTTACGAGGGACAGAGTGAAAAAACTGGACGAATGATAACTACTTGCTTGATGAACACCAGTGACGAGAAAATTATAAGTAAGGTATGTATATATGATTAATCTAAAATTTTATCAGAAACACTACATTTCGCACATTTCCATTCGTCAATGTGTATATATACTTATATATTCCAAGTATGTTTGCAGTTGAATCAATTTTCAAATTGTTTGCTGCACACCAAAGTGAGGTTTACAGTCTTCAAGTTGTTCACCTTGGATCAATCGTTGTTGATGTCTGTCAGTTGCGATTTTTCATCATCGTACACTCTCTTTTGTTTATATTGTATCGATTGCACCATTACATCCATTTTTTTAGATTTCAGGATCAATAGCCACGTACTTGGTGATACTATTGCAATTTCAAGACAACAACTGTCCACCTTGAGATGTTTATCCTGAATCAGTTGAAAATGTAATTTTTTATGTATGTATTAAAAAAATGAAACAGTATAATAAAGTATACGCATTAGTGAATGAAAAAATGTCTAATGCGTTATTGGCATTGCCTGGAGAGTGACGTTATTTTTTTCACTTCAATCAAGCTAAAATTATTTTATCGAACGCAAGCGCAGCTAATGCAGTGGTCAAGTACTACACAAAACGCGGGTGAGTAGCGTATATTGTAGTAATGTTACACTGTATGGACGTACATAAAAAATCATGTTGAAAATAGGAGTGAAAAATAATTATGCGCTTTACGAAAAATTTCTCTCAAAATGTTTGTTCTATTACTTCAAACTTATCGGCATCGCACCGTTCGATTTTAACGCTGAATCGGCAACGAGCAACACCCCACATCTTCCATCGTTCACCAGTTGTAAACGTTGCGTCATTTACAATGTCGCGTTAGCCCTGACGATCACAGTGTCCTGTGTATTTTTCATACCATATTGCGAAAGCAGGGCATCGGCAATCGAGTTGGAGACAATCTTAAACATCGGTCAGGACGTACTACTGTTCATCACGTTTGTAGCAATAATCGCGTTTTATTGCCTCAATCGAGCAAAAGCCGTGAAAATCGGTAACGACATCATCGCCGCTGTACAGTACTCGAAATCCATCGGGTTGGAAACAAGCTACACTAACATCGACAAGTCGATCTGGAAACGCGTCGTACTCATGTTCGCGTCTTACGTTGCAATGTGGTCGTATTTGCTGTCAACGTTTTATTACTCGACCTACGCGTTCACCCTCTACGTCGTGTCGATGTACTCCTGCGTTTTAACGATCATAAGCGTTTACGTGCAGTACACGGTGGTTTTGCGGCTGGTAAAGTTCCTCTTCGAAAAAGTGAACGGTACTCTGTTGCTCTTCGACAAACAGCCGTCGCACTGGCGCGATCGAACATCTGCGACGCGACGCGAAATCCGGGTGGAACAGTTGCGCAAGCTGTACTCGCTGCTGGCCGAGGTGTCGAGCGATTTGTCGGACTTTTACTCGTACCCGGTGTTCCTCGCCTCGGTCAACATTTTCCTCGCTCTGGTCTGTCCGGCCTACATTTTGGCGAAGCCGGTGGTCCTGGGGAAAAATGACCTCTCGGCCATGACGTTTTCGCACGTGCTCCTCTATTGGCTCCTTTACGCCGTTACCGTCGTTCTTTTGACCACTGCTGTTAGCGCCACTGTGCTCGAGGTAATCGTTGCAAGGTGTTGTTTTTTTTTATCAATTATTTTCTTGACAATAATTAAATCATAACAATATCATGTCGATTGATCAGAGCAGGAAAACTGGAAGGATATTGAACAGTTGTCCGATGATGGCTGGGGATGACGAATTTGCTGCCGAGGTGAGTAAGCGAATAAAACAAGCAAACCTCAAACTGATAGTAAAATAATCATTTCTTTTTTTTTTTTTTTTTTTTCAGGTCAATCAGTTTTCTCATTACTTGTTGCACGCAAACGTCAAGTTCTCGGTTTTCGATTTATTTTCACTGGATGAATCTTTACTGCTCTCTATCGCCGAATCCATTACCACGTACTTGGTGATACTTTTTCAATTCAAATCGTCCTAAATAAAATTTTTGGGTCCAAGTTTAACTGAGTTCTTCAAATTTTTGTAGCAATTTAATATTTAATAAAATAACTAATTTTTTCGCTGATGATTACTACGTTCATTGGATGATGCAGTGCATCAATAGTAATTTTTATTCGAGGGTGAGTTGAACCAGTTGATTTTATAAGTTAATTATTGTTAAAAACAAAGTTAAAATAGACGGATGTTTTCAAAGTAAATATGTTTTATGAATATGATCTACTTAAGAAAAAATTTTATAAAGTATCAAATTTTATTTAAATGATTGAACGTTTGAAAATTCATCAACCACAACATGAAGTTAAAATTCAAATTTTCCCGCCAACTGGAAGCTCCAGGTAAAATAGGTTAGTCGGTCTGGCGTTGTAAGAGTATTGGTTAGGTCGTTTGTTTATAGCGCGCGCCGCGCACCACGTGCACGTTCAGTCGTCAACATTTTTTTGTGTGCGGACGATAAACAAGTGGAAAAAACGAGTTGTCAATTATCTAAATCAACATTTTGTATTGTGATGAGTGTTTAACGAAATGACGGAGGCAAATTCCAAGATTTGTACTTTTTGCAAAAGTACATCGTTTTACACGGAGTCTGGTTTCTTTTACTGCACCCAGTGTCTAACACAAAATGAGGTAAATTTTCTCTGGAAATGACAGCTTTCACGATTCTTAATCGGTTATTAAATACTGCCTTTTTTGCATTTTGATTAGGACGCTAATGAACAAGTATTTGAAGCACAGTACGACACTAACACTAGATTTCGAACCACAAAAATTCAAAAGAGGAAAGTTGAGGATACAGGTGATGATTGAATAGCTTAGTATAAAATGACGTGAAAAAAAGTAAACTCTGTATTAATTATGTTTCATGTTGCTTTTGTAATAGATGTCATTGGCTGGACAAGCTGGGAACTTTATAATTTTGCGTTGCTCAAAATGACAAATGAGCTGATCGAAATAGGGGCAGACCCTGCCATAAAACTAACGGTTTTTCAACTGTGGACATACTACTTGACTAAATTAGAAGTTGCATTTACATCCAAAACTAAAAAGCTTATTCCAAAAATGTCCAGGCAGTTCAGAAAAAAGTAAGAACGTATCTTGATATTTTATTCATTTTAAGGACATAAAATGTACATGGGCATATTACAGAGATGCAGAAATTATTTATGGTAAGGTTAAAAAGAGTAAAAAGAAACGGCGCAGAAAATCAGTGGCTAGTAGTAATACATCATTATTGTCGACAAGTATTACCAGTGTAGGAAGTGCTTCGAGAAGAAGTTTCTTGAACAGCCAAGTAATTTTCTTCTGATAACCACGCCATTATTAAAATTAGGTAATTGAATAATTCATCAAAACTATTTCAGAGACTTTTAATTAAAGATCACAATCAACTTGCAAAAGAGCAGCAAAGCACTGATGCTGAGGCAAATAGTTCCATGAATCAAAGCTTGGACAGTCTGCAATCAAGTTTTAGTAAAGCTTCGTCCAATGCTGTCAGGTAAATAAAGTTTATGAATTTCATACAAGATTGTTATTAAGTAAGTTTGTAATACAAATAATACTTTCAGAATTCGTTTTAATAAAAGAGCCAGACTAGAAGCAAAAAAGGCAAAAGAAAAAGCTAAGAAAGTTCCTCGTGGAGTCAAAGAATATATAAAAAAGAATTATGTATCTGACAGCTACAGTTATGGACCTGATGTTCTCACACCTTTTAGGCTTTGGTGTGTTGCTTTTTTAGCTTTAAGAATACATAATCAAAAGATTTATGCATCAGACATGCTAAGGTAAGATTTTATTAGTTGATTACATTTCGTCAATTTATTAAAATATGATAGTATGTACATTTTTTTTATACAGATTTGGTAGAGAAAATCATCTCACGTATTACAAATTGCACAATGCAATACCTCCAGAAGTAGCTTTAGCTAAAGATGATTTAATTTGTTTAACTCCGTCGTCAGATATTACACATAAGGGCTTGAGAACATTATCTGCTAAAATGGCACGCTTTTTAGGAATTGAAAAACTTCCTAAGCCCGATATCGTGGGTCTCATAAGAAGATATTGTGAAGATCTTGAGTTACCAAGTAAGACTGATTACTGACAAATTATTTGACAAAGTTTTTGAATATTACAGTAATAATAATTAATTGCAGAAGGCGTCATATTATATGCAGAAAGACTTTATTTATCTTCTCCTTGTATAATGGATTACACCAAAAAATCATTAGTAATTCCTAATTATGAAGGCAGAGCAATGGCTTTCATAATAGTGGTTTTGAAAACTCTTTTTGGCCTGGATGATATAACAGAAAAGGAAATCAGCAGAGTAGTGGATAAAATCAACAGGTAAATAAAGTTTCATGGTGGAAGTGCGTTTATCTCACAATATATTCATATCATATAAAATATAGGAGTGCAGCGGAAAGAGACATTTTGGAAGCCAAACTGTTTAGTTTTGGTGAATGGCAAGAGTTTATTGAGTGTCGCAAAGCTATCTTGGCAAGCATACATTTTCCATCAAAAGTCAAATACGATCCCGAAAACATGAACAGATCTCATCTGTATCTTCGATTCATGACATTAATGGACCAAAGATTTAATACCATTCCCCCAGAGCTTGACAAAGGCAAAAACGTCGTCACTTCAACGGCTATGGCCGATATTATGCGTCAATGTGTCAACGATCTCAGTAATTGCAATAACGATGCTAAAATAGAGCCATTGAAAGAAATGATGACGTTTCCAGCTTCATTGACGCCATTGAAATTCTACATAGCTCAGCTTGCTGAAGATTCACACATTGACGTACCTTATGTACTACAAACGAAATTTCATGATACCAAAGTTGGGTACATGACGAAACCTGAAAAGTGTGTATTTTTTGTATTAATTAAAAAAAAAATAATAATAATAATAATAACTGCACTTTATTAAATATGTGATTATTTTTAGGCTAGTTGAATTGGCATCACATTGCGACGTGTCATTAAAAGTTGTGGAAAGCAGTTTACATTATTTGGAAAAAATTGTGCCACCTTACAAACGCATTATATCTCCTACTGTCAAAGAACTATGCGAATTCGTTGAAGTAAAAGCATCAAGTGACAAACAACATTTTGAAAAGAACTCCAGTGATAACTTTCTCGATTATGTACATAGAAAACGTGAGTGCAAGTTTAAGGTAAATTCACAAAATCTTCGGTATTACTCTGTTGTGCATGAGAAAGAGTTAAAATACAAGGAAGCCTCAGACTTTGAAGAAGACAGTTCTTTTAATAAAATTTTACCTGATGGTCGGCTTGATATTAAAGATGGCAGCGACTCCGAGGATGAAAATCCCGTTGATCAACTAACATTAGGAATTAGGAAAATTGAACTGTACAATCATGAATTAACAGCTTTAAATAACACTGAGAAAAAAGATGAGATTGAAAAATTAACTTGTGAAATTAGTAAGAGGTTTGTAAAAGCCTTTCACGGACAGAAGGAGAATAAAAGAATTACTTTACCGTCCGATGACTCGAGCAGAGTCGAGTTGAAAGCAAACAATAAATCCAAAGTTACACAAAAAATTGGAGAAAATAAAACAATGGATTCCAGTCAGTCTAAGAGCAAAGATGAAGACGAGTGTGTTTATATATCTGAATCGACTGTAAAAGAAGACGTGGCTATCATCAATCAAACTAAATCGAATAACAAAAACCCGACGCTCGATGATGAAGAAATACTCTTTAGACCTTACAAAGATTATTGGATGCAGTATTGTGACCAGGCAATCGTTAATTTTGATTTGGTGGAAAAGGAATTGCCGAAAAATTTCTTGTGGCTGTTGAACGAGTGTGCTGATATGGTTGAAATGACAACCGAAGAATTGTACCTGGAGGTTTGTGTGGTTGAATCTTTTCATCTGACGATCTTGAAGACCAGCAAGTCAGAAAAAGATGGTGCGGATTACCCGTTTCACGATACCAATTCATCAAAGTACAAGAATTACGTGACAAAAGAGTGGTTGTGATTCATTTATTTATGTGATTATTTTTATATTAAACTTTGTATTGAAACGAAGTGTACAAAATGCATTTAAACTTAGATATCAGGTTATTGATTTAGTGCAAATAAAAGATTTTTTTACTACTATTGGTATTTTTTTTTACATGATTTGTAATTTCTACAACAACTTTATCGTTCAACAGTTACTAATTTATATACTTCGCGCTAAAAAAGTGTGTGTATAATTCGACTAACCTAACGTGAGTTTCGAAAAAGAGCCAAAACATAACCACAAAATAAAAACAGCTGATTGATCGACGGAGTTTACACACCATTCAACACAATATACAAATCTTAGAAATAAACAAAAAATGTTTTCCACGCGAATCTCGAGATCTTTGACTCTTTTTAGACGGTTTTCTACAAAACCAGAGGAAATAGCCCAATTAGTCAAGGTAAGACATCTGTATTATAGTAATAACAAGCCGGTGACCGACAAATAGTTTGTAAAAAAAGTATAATTTAACGAAAATACTTGTTTAACCATTCCAGAAAAACAAAGTCGTCGTATTTATGAAAGGTGTGCCGGAAGAACCAAGATGTGGCTTCAGCAATGCTGTTGTGCAAATCATGAGGATGCACGGTGTTAAGTATGACGCACATGACGTGCTCAAGGATGAAAATCTGAGGCAAGGTAATTATCAAATTTTGTTGTTGTATTGGGTGAAATGTCGTTTGATTGTTTCATTCCTATATTTATTGCATTTGAGTGGTTGTGTTACCTTGTAAATTTTTGTTCCCAACATCATTATTTTGTTGTTTATTTATGATTCATCACTGTAATACTTTGACTCTGTTTCACTTAAAAATTTAATTCTCAAAAATGGTAATTATTTGTGAGGATAGTTGAGTTAACATTGTTTAATGTACAGGTATCAAAGATTTTTCAAACTGGCCAACGATACCACAGGTTTTCATAAATGGTGAATTCGTAGGAGGTTGTGACATTGTTTTGCAAATGCATCAGAACGGAGAGTTTATCGAAGAGTTGAAAAAAGTTGGGATTACTAGTGCTCTGTTAACTAAAGAACAGGAAAAAGAAAAAGACAGTGTTAAAAAATAATTATATAAGTGAATCATACAATTGTAGATAATTTATTGTTCTTTGTTTAAAAAAAAATCTTGTAATAAAAAAAAACCTTTGTATTACATACAAAGAGTTAAAAATATTAACGCTTACTTTGTACTCTAGCTTAAAACTTAAGAATCTACCAATTATTAAATGCGTTTTTGCGTCTAATGAGAACAACAGGCCATGCATAATGATAACACTACAAGGAAAGTTTTGAATCTTTCATTAATTTCATTACCTAGAAAAAGCTCGCCTGTGTATGATTTTCTATGTGTAACAGCAACAAACATACAAGTATGTCACGTCATGCCCTCGCAAGTACTTCACGCGTAACGAGTTGTGAATAATTCCATCGCGGCGCACCTACAATATATCAGTATGCGGTGTAAATTTACGGAATAAAAGAAAGAAAAAAAAGGTATGCTTTTAAATTTTCATTGGTATTTTTAGAGCCACCGATAATCGCCATCTGTATGGAGATCCATTTGTTAGCCCGAACTTCTCACAACGTGTCCCAATTAATAAAATAAAAAATCATCCCCCAAATTCTCCCTTCCCTCCCTCCGAATACTCAATTTGCCAGCGACACCACGTCCCTCGGCGGCTTTTCCATCCGCCCGATAAAACTCGGTGCAGTGTAACGAGGAGTAGGGTGCAAATTAGGAATAAGGTAAAGAAAGAAAAACGGGGGCGAAATCGTCGAGGGGCCAGTTAGCTATCTCGAACAGGTACACCCACATAAGTTGATCAGAGACGCGAGTTAATTAAGCCCGATAAATTCGCCTGGTCACCCCGAACGTACACCTGAAAGTTTACCTGCATACACATACACCTATGCACAAATGTAAAAAGATGCCATGCATAAAATTTATGTCGGTATGCGGCCTTTTTTATTGTTACCGATGCTGGTGCTTCGGTGTAACTGCGAATGAGAAAAGCTCGTTTATCTCGAGCTTTCGTCCGTGACATGAGCTTCGATGATGACGCGCTCTCTGGTATTTTGCGTTTGGAAAAAATTATATAACGTTATTCGTTCAATCGAAAAGAAATTTTCTTTAAAAAAAAAAATAAAAAAAACCGCAATGAAAATATATGTAGGTGACCGTTGTGTTTGTCATACCGAACGTTCCAATTTTTCAATGAATTGTATATTGCCTGGCACTTGTAAGCACTTGCCCATAAAGATATGTAGTCGAAAACAAGTGACAAAACAACAAGTAAAGGAAGAACTCAATCCATCGAAACAATAACCCGAAGCTCAAAAGCTCATGTAATCATAAACGGTGACGTTCGCATATATACATCGTTTGCGAGCAAACACGCGAATGTTCCGGGAGGGGGAGAGCGCATATACATATGATATCATCGTTGGATGTAACACACTGAAAAGAGATGGGGGGGGGGGTGGGGAATTAATTAATGGGATGACGAGACGCAGAGGGACCGTATACACATGCACGATCTCTCGTTTAATCGAATACGAGATGAGAGTAGCGAGCTGCAGGTTATACATATATAGCGAGTGAGGAGGCTTGAAATTTAAGCTGGGGAAAAAGGGGGAGGAATTAGAACTAATTAGGGGCGAGAGTGGTTCCACTGGCGTGTCGAACTCGCGGGACGGGGAGGAAAAAGGTCAGCGAGAGGGGGTGTTATTTTTTATGTAAAAAAAAAAGTTTTTGTCCCGATTTATCGATGGTCCAACCAGTTGGGGCGTCGATGGGACAACGAAAAAGGGTAGTCGCCACGCACACCCTACGAGCTTAAAAGAAAAATCGAAGCTTTGCGCCGGTAGCACCTCGCGACGATAAACTCTTCGGGCGGACTTGATTTACGGGCGGCTCCTCTCTCGAAAATCGAACTTGCCTCGCTCCACCCCTTACGTCCTCCTCCCTCTTGCCATACATCTACTTTCTCGCGGATACAAAGATCGAGAATGCACGCTCTTCGTTATGGCTGTGTCATTCTCTTTTATTCGTTTTTTTTTTTTTTTTTTTTTTCTCAATTGCCTCATACTACAAGTTGCAAGAGTCGTTATTTCGATCGGTTGTTTCCTTGCATCTTGGGAAACATGTCTCTTTTTCTCTTAAAGAAAGTTAATGTTTCTTTGATTACCATGTTAAGAAAATTGAAAAAAAAAAAAAAACGAAAAAAAACGAATGTTAAATTAATAAAAGAAGGGGAGAAAAGCTGTACGATATGGGACAGGGAATCGTTTCGACTCGAGCGGAGTATACGTGAATAGCAGCCTTGATCCATTTTTTACCACCAGCAGCAGCTCCCCCGAATATTGTCTTTGCGTGCCCCTCCTTATATCCTCCACCTCCTACTTTCGCTCGGATTACACTGTGTACACTAACGTATAGCTGCTATGTTATACTCTCGCGAGTTTCTACTTTTTTTTTTCCTTTTTTCATACATATTCCCCGAAGAGTGGAAATTCCGCGAAAATTTATGGATTTGGGAAAGTCGACCTCGCAACGCGCGAAAAAGTAATGCGATCAAGACTCTCCCACCCAATCCCCTCCACTCGAGGCAAGGAAGGATGAAGCTTTTAATAATTAACGAATGGCGTGTTTATGCATTTCGTATGCAATATGGTAAATATAATGTGTATGCCGTGATACCTAACGATACATAAAATATACGCGTTCTCATGTTTCATCGGCGTATTTAACCATCAAACAAAACGATGATGGTGCGTCGGAATGGCTGGAGGGGGGGGGGAGGGGGTGGAACAATCGCTCTTCCCTCAAGCTTGACAACCACGACATGTCATCGTTAATATCATCACGCACGCGATACGCTTACTTTCTCTTTGTATTTCGCAACAATGGCCGTGGAAAAATGACAAGAGGGAAGAATAAAGTTCCACGGTCGGAGCGCGGGACGAAGATGAAGAGATGAACATATCGTACACTGTTTTTTCGATTGACGTTGATTTTTTTTTTTTTTTTTTTTTCCCTCGGGGCTTAGAAAACAAGTATATAGTAACTGGTGAGGCATTGTGTACACATCCATTGTTCGCTATTTGTTGCATTGGTACCATCGAGCCAGTTTTTAGTTAATAATTATAACGAGAAAATTAAAACACCCTTGGACAACCGATCGACCCCGAGGCAAGAATCAGACAACAGTGAAGAAAAAGCAAAAAGCTCTCGGTAATTAATAATTCGGTAAATTAAAGTGTATAAAAGCTCAGAGGAGCGGCTCCGTGTGACACGTGTGTAGCAAAAAACGCCAAAGGTGAAGATTTTGGTTGATTTGGTTGAAATATATGTATATATACACATTCGTTCCGATGCAGGTTTAGAAAAATGAAAAAGAAACAAAAAAAAAAAAAAAAAGAAAAAAATGAATATACGCGCAACCGAGTAGCGAAGCCAACCAACAAAGTAGTCCCATAAATCATGTTCAACTCTCGACGTCAGCCGGAGGCAAAAGTCTCCGAGCCCGAGAGCGGCTACTAATTCCTGACGCGCGAATGCATTAACGTTCATTTGCGTTCGTTAAGAAGCTCGGCAGCATCAGCAGCGAGCAGTTAAATATCACCGAGTCCCCGGAGGTGCGGGCTATACATACGGGACTCCGAAGCGCCCCGGTGCACAGTTTTCCGCGACGACCTCGTTATTCACCATTTCCCAACCCTAATCGCAATCGATACTCCACCTCGGCCCCGTTTCATATGGCAAAAAGGGAAAAATCATCCTCCACTCGCCGTATCCTGTACACATTCGATAAATACACCTCCCTTGCATGCGTAAATCTCTCGCGATTGAAAGTAACAAAGTTTGCTAGCAACCATTTGTCAAAGCCAACTGCAGACGTTGGAGGGTTGAAAAGCCTCGGTTCCGGTTATTGGAAATTCATTTGCCGTTCTCGGGAGGAAAAGCTCCTATACTCACACACACACACACACGTTGGCTCCTTCGTACCACGGTGGGTTTACCAAAGCTCGTGGTTTACGTTACAGTATTCCCTCTGTGTCGTGTCCGTACACGCAAGTGTCGGGGCCAATTTGTCTCCACCTTCCGCTGCTTCCGCGGGGCTTTGTCTCGGGAACTCTGGTGTCAAATACTACGACGTATTTGCGCTTGATTAGCTTGGGGTGCACCTTGGCTGAACGAATGGCTACAGTGGTGCTCTTTTGATGTTTGGTTTGTGGGAACAGGGGGTTCCTCGCGTCGGATGTCGTTGGACTTGTTTGAAATCGATCATTCGAAAACATCTTTGAATGAAAAATGAATTCCCTTGTTAACTCTCCCTTTGAATTAATCATCAACTCAATTCAACTTACTAAAAAAACTCAAATATGCACACGTGACTCGGTCACCACATCCACAGAGAAAAACAAAAAACAAAAAAAAAAGCTTAAGTGCCGCATTCCAGAGCTATCCTCTGTCTCGCCACAGGATCTCGCAGTAGTACGAGTCAGCGCTTGGTCGGGCATTCTCTCCCTCCCCGATTTACAGCCAACGCGCTTCACTCCCATCCTTATTCATTATTCTTACTTAATTTACCTCGTCTACTCTCCTGTCTTGTTCACCTTCTTTTCCACTTTATTCTTTCCCCCCCCTGCCGTCCTGTTTGCTCGTTCTCATTCCTACATCCGTGCAGCTCCTTGCTCACTTTTACCGCTTGGATTGTCCCTAATTTTTTGTTTTTATCTCGCTCTGCCACTCGGCTTTTTACTATCATCCTCTTTTTTTTTTTNTATTATTTCGTGGAGAGCTGCCGTGCGATGGCTATTCTTTTCCGAAAGAAAAACGCAAGACGTCGTACTCAGTGATGAGCCACGAGCAGCGTTCCACTTTCCGTATGTAGAGAAAAAAAAAAAAAAAAAAAAAAAAAAAAAAAAAAAAAAAAAAAAACAGTAAATTTAACATAAACATATACCCACATACGTATACACTTATTCTCTCTAAAAGGGAGGAGAGAACGACGCGGAAAATAGTTTTTATTTCTCCAAATTGACATCATTCCACGACTCTGTCTCCATCTTTCTCTTTGCACGTTCATGAATCCCGAGGAGTCACGGAG